GACATGCAGGAAGCTTTGGGCTGCTTCTCACAGAAGCCATCCTTATAGCCCATCCCCCACCTCCCGCCAAAATCTGGCCACACAAACCCCACCAAACAGCTCTCATTTACTCCCACATCAGATGCTTCAAGGGCCAGGAGAGCAACCTAGGGAAGCACCTGCAGATGGGTGGTGACTTCAGGAGCTTGAGGACTGTCTCATGCACCCTCAAAACCTTTCATTAATTAATGGGCTTGCCTTTTAATTCTTTATTTTGATTTGGAGAGTCAGTTTTTTAATGGACGATAGCTGGATTTGCAAATAAAGCTGCTGTTAACTTCTGTTTTGGCACAGTGCAGCACTCCCTTATCCCATCTTGTGTTGGTGCATCACCCCCTTAGAACAAAGAACGGGACACAAGTGTTTACTTTTTAAGAAAGGGGAAAAATGATCATGCACTGAAAGAACTGTTGGCCTTACTAGTGCTGGTAGGAATAATTAGCTACAGAAGCACTGAGCTGCGATGCCATGGTGGAGGAGTGTCCTGTGCTTGCTGGGCTGCAGGTAGCTGTCTTTTCCAACTGCTATGCCAGTATTGATCCCAGAAAGATTTGCTTTCCCCCTTACAGCAGTGAACTGGTTCTGAGATGTTGAATTCTTCTTTCTGCTCCAAATTTCCTGCATCACCCAGAGTACAGTAGTTAATGACTTGACAGTGTAGTTCTCCAGTTGGAATTTTTTTGCTTTTGACAAATGTTGCAGAAATAGATTCTGTAGTACACACAAAGTATTACACCACTGTGATGAATGGGACAGGGGGGCACAAATTTTGTAAGTCTTGACAGGTAGTATATTTATTTTTATAACTACACCTCTTGAAAAGTATTTTCTTTCTAAATTAAACTATCGGTTCCTGCAATTTTGAAGCATTGGTAAAATTTTTATGTTTAGGACTTTTAAAAACTATGAATCACTTCCCCTGCTCTGACTTTCTTTTGGAGGCTCCTACTTCTGACCTCATGAATGATGCCTTGGGTGAGATATAGATTGTGCTGATGTCTTCACAGTTGCCCACTGCTGTTGATGTGACATGTGGACGCATGTGTTCATGTCCCAGTGTTTATCAAAAATTTTGTCTGTAACTCAGATTAAGGGGGAGAGACTTGGTTTTGACATTTATTTCAAAACAGCTCTGCAGAGTGAAGAGGAAACATTAATTAGTGCTGAGAGAAAAATGGTTACAGCAGGGCTCTGTTGGTGTGGTGCCTTTGTTGTTTTGGAGACTATTTTTTTTGTTAGCTGCATCCATGAGCATGCACAAAGGAAGCTGGTTTACTTTTCATGTTATCAGCTTTGAGCAGAGTGAAGAAATTAAACTTTTCGGAGGCTTTAACCTCCAGTAAGCCGCAATGACCCAGCAAGTGTTCACAGAAAGGATGTTCTCATCACTTCACAGCATCCTACATACGTAGGAAAGAGAGAGAAAAAGATACTCTGAAAAATCTGGTTTGTGCAGGGAAACAATCCTAGCACTTTTTTTGGTGAAGTCAAGAGGGACACAGGGGACTTGGCACTGGTCGTGCTGCAGCTGTGTCCCTCAGGGCTGCAATCATTCACTTGGTTCAGCAGAACTGTTTATCTCCAGGTATTCACTGCTGGTGAACAGAAACATCTTTCTAGGTGAGTCTTTGAAATCAGATAAACGTGTTTTCTTCCACTGCTCACTTTTTGTTTGTAGTTGGTATCTCAAAAAGGTCGTATAACTGCAGATACCAGGCAAACAACTCATCTTTATAAACAGCTGGCTTGTATCTCCAGTGGAGCTACTGCAGCAGAAACACTCAACTGTCTTACTTCCCTGGAATTTGTTGTAAAGAAAGGGAAGTGTGATGTAGGTTTCACCATGATGTAGCCCATTATAGAGAGTACATCTGGCACATCTGTAAAACTACCTGGCTCTAGAGAGGTGTGTCTGTGAGTGTGACAGGGACACAATGCCCCTATTTAGGTGAATGATCCCCTGAAAGCCTGCTAAGCTTAACAGAAAATCCTAACAGGTCAGGAATATTATTTAAGTGAATAAAATATACTGACTGTAAAAAGCCAGGAGACAAACTTTGGATGCTGCAAGTTAAATTGTCATGGCTGATGTTACTGCAGCACAGCTTGCTAATGACTAGGTCATTAGTTTAAAATGTTAATAAAACTTACAGATGGAGAAAGGCATCATGAATGAAATATGGGCTACCTTCTCTCACACTGAAACTTTTGTTTTTGGCAATGTATGTCCAGTATCAGAGAAAATTAACCTCTGTGCAAATAAAGATGGCAAAAAGTGATTCTATAAAAATAAATGCCGTGCTCTGAGAAAATTGCTACATTATACTAAAACAGATAAAGGTGGGATGCAGTATTTCTAAAAATGATGTCCCATACATGTCAGTGCTAAGGAACTCTAAACTTATTCTCAAAAGTGCTGTTCGTAAATGTTCTCTGAAATCTAAGCCTGACATTGATAAACATGGTAAACCTTGGTGTTTTCCATAGATGCTCCTCACTGAGCTGACTCACAGCAGCCTGAGGACCTCATTCCATCTCCGAGGGCTAAAACCCTCCAGTAGTAGTGCAGCAAATCCATAAGTACCTTACCTTGCCATAGGCTGAAAATCCCTCAGCAATTGAACAGGAGGAAACGCAAGTTTAGAAAACAATTTTATTAGACAAATTATTTAGACAAATTATACACAGAAAGCTCTGCCACTTGTAACTGAGGCCTCCAAAAAGTGTTTTGTGTATCTGTATAATAGGCAACACATCAAAATAGGCCTATTTTAAATATCATACATGGTTAACAGGTTTTTTAATAGCTAAAATCACTGCAACATCTGGTATGTCCCTACGTAGCTCGTTGGAAAGAATTTTTTTTTTTCTTTTTTCTTTTTTTTTTCTTTTTTTTTTTCTTTTACTCAGAAGTGTGGATGAGTTCATGAATGTTACAAGGGGGAAGCAAGTTGTGCATGCTTTTAGACACTTGCTACCCTGGAAACAAAATGGCCTTTTGCACGATAAGAATTTGTTCTGCCTTACACAGTAGACAATATTTGAAGATTTAGTACAAAAAACAGTGACAGTACAAGATGCTCCCCCAGAACAGAATTAGCATCAAAATAGAATAGATCTGAAGAATATACCTTTTAATTTATCCTAAAGCAAATCACATAGGCTGATTCCTATTAATCTTAGCCAAAGAATGAGTTAGATTAAAATAAGTGTATGGTTGCATCAAAAAGAAAACCAAACCAAAAAACTCACAGGATAAACTGCTTGCTTTCTACTTAACCGCATTTTTAGTTTAAGGATTACAAATTGAAAGCTCTTCCTACGTTTCTAACAGGTAACATTGTTACTTGAAAAAGCTGGTGCCAAAGTGGGCACCGGTTTTGCTCTCACTGCTGTTCTTTTTCTTGCTTTATACAGTTGGCACTAATGTAAAAAGTAAATAGCTCCTCTAAATCTAACTTAACATAGAAAGGGTTAAACTGAGTGCCTGTTCATATTTTTTTTTCCCTTAGAACAATACGTGATTATAATTAAGGCCACATCTGTGTCTCTTGAGGGCTTTTTTTTTTTTTTTCTCTCCAATTAACGCCATTATTGTATTGATGAACTGTGCTGACTTGGAAAGGGATTTATTGACCTTTGATCCATGTTTAATTGCTCTAGAGCAATATCAGTTGTTCATGGTATACCTAAGAGAGAGTTCCATTTGTTTAATTAATTAAAAGGAAAATAATCAAGATTAGCCTTATAGAATGCTCAAAAGCCAATGCAAAACCTAACCAAAGGAGTTACATCTAGGTACAAATGTTAAATTGTCCTGGATGCTCTAATAGAAAAGTATAAAATATGCTCTGTTGGCAAACAATGCAAGTCAGAATAACGTTAAAGCAACCTGTCTTTTCTAAATGAAAAGACACCCTGCACTGTACATCTCTCTTGTATACAACACATTTTTACTAAAGCTTTATTAAATGAATTGCAATAGCAACGGCTGCCATTTTATAGCTATATATACATGTATATATATATACACATACCTGTGTGTCCATATGTGTATATATATATATGTATGAGATACTAATTTATTTAACACAATGGAGGCTTCTGCCATATGATACAGTTTACTGTACATAAGAAAAACTTTTAACACTGTACAATCACATAAAGGTCATATGCACTGTTGCAGTGCAAAAGTAGATTTAACTGTAGTCTTTACTGGCATAGTAATGGCTTTTTGTAATCCTACAAAATTGCATTCTTATATTATGGGGCCTGAATGATCTTTGAACTTCATTTGTTTTCCTTTCTTCTTTTTTTTTTTTTTCTGTTTTTTTGTCTTTTTGCCTTTTTTTTTTTAATTTTCCATTTTTTAAACTGCAGGGTTTGCCTTTGGTCCACAGTTAAAAGGACACACAGCAGTGGAGCGCTGACTAGATGCAGCAGAGTACATGAAAAATACTTCAGTTATTGCAATTATAGTAAAAAAAGGCGGTGGGGGAGGAGGAGCGAATGCCCTTCTGTAAAGTAATCCTCAGGGTTTTCCTATGCGTGAATCACTGCTTGTTTCCTATATTTAAAGTATATGAAAAGCCTGAAGTAACCAAAACCTAATATGGTGATAAACTGAAGAATAAGTGATTCAAGTAGTACAGAGAATAAGGGGAGGCAGAAGAGACCAGACTGAGAAAGCAGAGAAGAGGAGGAGGAGTTGCTACTAATAATTCTGATTCTTAAATAAAATAAAGAAAAAAAACCCCAAAACAACCCCTGAACAGAAAATAACCCCCAAACAAATTAAAAAAAAAACAAAAAAACAACCCAAACCCAAACCACAACCCTCAAAACCAAAGCAATAAGGAAAAGAAGAAAGGTTACATCCATGTTAGTCCCACAATATTACACAGCTGCTCCTTGCAAAGGGAGTCCTAAATTAGAAAGAGTGAAGAAACTTGTTCTGATGCTCAGATGGAGGTGCCTCGGTCTGGGTCACTACCGATATTCAGGCCCAGGGTAGGAGTTGGTTGGTAAGGGATAGATGACATTGTTTTGATGGGGCTTCTGAAAAAGCCCCCGTTGGGTGCCCTGTGCCTGAAAGGGCCAGTTCGGTGCTCGGGCACGCTGCCGAAGGAGAATCCCGAGGCGGCTTTAGCAGACAGCGTGCGGCTCAGAGTCTGGATCTGCTCTGGTATGAAGGTGGTTGTGGTGATGTGAGTGTTCCTGAAGTCACTGATTTGCTCCAGTGCCTGGCGTGTGGGTAAAGTGTCAATGTCCAGCGGGGTCAAGTCAATCGATGAGGTGGAGAACTGTTTATGGGGACTGTCGTCGTCTGTGCAGAGGCTGTTCACGCGCCTGTGGAGGTGCTCCAGGTCGATCTCCTTGTCATCCTGGGGAATGAGAAAAACAAGAGGCACCACTCACCATCGCCATCTGTGCTGGGCTGAAGTTTCACAGGGTGATCAGCACTGCTCAGGGAGCACAAGGCACAGTTAACTAGAGCTGGCTCTTGGCTGACGGTGTCCTGAATGTCACCAGCGAACTTCCCCACTGCCTGAAGCCAGGTGGGCAAAGCCAAACTGAGGCAGACCCTCACACCACAGCTACCTTCAAACCCTGGATCCAAACAACAAAACTCAAAGCGCCACCGGTAGATTTTCAGGAAAAGGCAAGCTTGGAGCTAGGTGGGATACACTAGCAACAGCTGAATAAAAGTAAACTGCACAATCTCAAATGCCTGGAATGATGCCAGTTCTTCAACTCCACAATGAGAGCTAAATTTGGATGTCAACACAGGAGGCTCTGAGGGATCAGGTTGCCATCTTTGTCATCCTCTCAGTGTTTAAGGAAGGTCTAGAAACTTCTCAGGTTCCTTTTTGGCTTTATAATGTAAATTGTGGTATAGAAAAGCTGAACATACAGAAAAAAAAAACCCCAAGCAGTGGTGACTCATTGACATCTCACAGAAAGGAGTACACCAGGCAATTTTAAATTACAATGCCAACAGAGGGATTAGTTATCTCCTTACCTACAAAGAAGCAATTCCATCTATCCTGATGGAATTATACTTTTGTGGGTGAGAAGAGAAGGCAGCCTGATGTATTTATTATAATATATCATCGCTTCTTTCCTTCTTAAATCTCTCTTCCCAGAGAACACAATTAAATAGGTTTGTTTGTTATAATTGAGAAATTAAGTGCATGGAAGTTAAAAAAGAGGAGAAAGTCCTAGGTGACCAAATAAATCACCTATGTTGTACATACATATTTCTGCTGAACTGCAAAGCTTAATTCAAAGCAGCATTAAGTACACTCATACAGGGATATTCCCTCAGTCTAAGTAGTGCAGCTCATTCAGAACAAAAATCAATTTCAACTAACCTTAAAATTTACCTTAATCTCTGTGAAATTTACTGGCTCTTCCAGGCCACTAGAAATATCTCACACTCTAGGACCTCACAGAGGATAATTAGGCAGCCGATAGACGTGCACTGATGACTTCCAGCCTTGGTTACTGAAATTCATTGACTGGTTTGATCCAGAGCTCCCTGAATCAATGGCAAAACTCCTAGTATACCGAATGGGCTTGAGATCCCTCCTTTCTCTAGGAATGAAGTCAAGCACTCTGAAAAAGTCCACACCTAGAACAAACTGCAGGAATTCATCTACTTAGCAGAACGGATCACTGAACATTTGCGCTGGCGCCACGCTGAACACAGAGCCCGACTGGAAGGAGACTGAGAGGCCAGCTCCCCTCTCCAGGACTGCACCCTCCAAGGGCAGGGACAGGGAGGCAAACCAGGGAAAAACAGGAAGGGAACAGGGCATCAGGGATCTCCCAGGGACTGGATGATCACTGACCACAAGGGCTTTGGTTTGAGCTCATCACGGGAAGGAAAAAATGCAGTGCTCATTTCTCGGACTTAGCTTTCTGTCTATTGTTTATTCACAGGTGGACATAGACATGGATGCACATAACAACCACACAGGTGACATCAAATCCAAACGCATTCACCAAACGCTATCTCCTAAAAAAAATTTGGAGCTGCATATGGATGCAGGAGAACTGGGGCCACATCAGAAATATACAGAGGCTCAATTAGTGTGTGCAAGTCATGACTATGTCTCTGAGGGACAGTCCTAAATTTTTTCCTTTTTTTTTTCTTTTCTGCTTTGTTTTTGTTTGTTTGTTTTTAATTTTGAAAAAAACCAAACATACAAATACTTTGTAATTTAAAATGCCAATCAGGAAAAGATTGCAATTTCATAGTTTCTGAGCCTCTAAGAATAACTCAAAGTAGTCCTCTTTCTTTTACAGAGATGCATTTGGGGCTAGGGTCAGACCGGTGCAAATATATAAGCGGTGATAATCTCCCATGCTTAGCCCACAACCCAATCTCCACCCAACTGATACACCAAAATGAGACCCACTCACAGTAAGATTGTGCATATCTCCATAATATGATCTTTCCTCTTCTCTCTTGTGTGATCAGTAGTGAAATATTCAGCAGTTTTCACATTTAAATTATCATCAGGCTTCAGAGTCAACATCCCATTGAGATTACTGGGGCGGTTCATACTTCTCTCAGAGCTACTGTTTAAGGCTGTCTGCAGACTCAGGCAGACATCAGTGAATGGGTTACTTCTGGCACGCGACCGAAATGTTATCTTCGCAACCATTAGACAATTTTTTTCAGTATAAATGCTTGCATTCTGGAGCACAAGATGGCAGCCACCAGGAAAAAGGGTTGGCTTGCTGACCACAAACTGGCCCAATCTGACCCCCGATTCTGGACTAGTGGCCTGGAAGAGCCAATGGATTTCATGGAAGCTAAAATGAATTTTAAGAAAGTTAGTTAAGATGTATTTCTTTGCTGAATGACCCCACATCCAGGATAAATGGGGACATTCAGCACATACGTCCACGTTAAACTCAGTTTTGAGCCAAGCTTTTCAATTAAAGGTTGAGATGAGCGTTTAAATGCTAAGATAACGACCATATAACAAAGATCAAGGAGGCCAAATTATACCATTTGTGGAAAGTACACACTTGAACTTCTCAGCATTTGAAAATTGAAATAGAAAATTTTATACTTGTGTAAAATATATGTGTTGGTGTTTTTTTCCTTTTCCTTTGTTATTGATTTTCATGTTTTGCACCAGATAAATATAAAGTATGAAGTTATGAAACTTTGGGTAGACAACGATCAAGTCAATTTTAGGGTTTTAAAATAATTTACCAGGTGAAACTATATGGTTTCCATTCCTGAGAAACCCAATTTAAAGTCTAGAGATTCCTTTTTTTTTTTCCTTTTAATAATGGTCCGGTCCAGATCTTGAACAAAAAAGAAAAAAAAAGAAAAGAAAAAAAAAAAAGCTTGGGAATTAAAACAGGCAAGTAAAGATTAAATGTATTTTAACATCAGTGCCAATGTTGTCTAATTAGGTGGTGTAATTAATCCTGCCTGATTAGACAGCATTAGATTAGCAGGAATAAACACAATGGAGAAACTGCAGAGAAGGCAAGACCACTGCACACAAATTAACAGCAATACCCCACAAGCTACACAGATGTGCCTAAGCTACACAGGCAGAAGAGCTATATTTGATAGTGCTACATTAAAGCTCACATTTAGTTTCAGCTTTGGGTGTTGCTTCCAAGGATATTTTAATGAATCATTTTGTCCCTAATTTCTTTTTATCATTTTGTAGAGGTAAAAACTTAATTATGAATATAAGAAACTTGGTGCAAAGTTGCACAAGGCTCAGATGGCTGGTAGAGGGACAGGTAGATTACGACAGGAAGGAAAGCATTACACATGCAGGTGTAGAAGCAAACTCATCTCAGGTGTAAAATAGAATATTCCTCTGTGGCATCTGTATAAGATTTTCTGAAACAAGCTTGTAGTAGGTTTCAGAAATAAGTCTGGCCTGAACCTGAAAAATCTAATGTAGTCTTGCTTCCCTGGACTTCAGCTGAAATAACAAGAACTGAAGTTCACGGAAGTCTCAAGAGCTTAATGTTTCTGAAAACGGGGACAAGCTCATTCAAGAAGCTAACAGCTGAATAAAGGGGTACATTTTGCGAATGTATTTTAAAAGACTCAGCCACTGAGCTTAGGGGATGTATTTTTCAAGAAGAAGCCAAGACATCTAGTGAGAATTAGCTGTTACCAATGGGAACAATGAACTAAATATTGATGTATTAATAATGTACTATTCTACAAGTAACAATTGTGTTTTACTCAGAATAGTTGCATATTTATACATCATCAATATACATTTATTTTTATTCAAGCTTTTCTAGAAAGAATAGCTAAAAAGATTTTGAGGAACATCATTTACCTTAAAAAATCAGGAAGCTAATGAAGTATCTCTGAATTTGATTCCCCACCCTCTCTAGTGCTATAAAATCAAGGCAGCAATCTTTAAGGTGCATGAAAATTCCCCAGGAGAAATGGAGGGTCTAATACCTCTTTTGATGGAACCCGGGAGCCTTTCCTTTTATTCCACCACGTTTCCAACATTGCAATGAAACAGGATAGGACAATCCCTGCAGCGAGGATGCAGAAAACACCTGCAAAACTTTTTATGTCCAGGGCACCTCCTTTCTGTTTGGTATCCACGGATGAGTAAAGATCACACTGACCATTCTTCGGCCACCACTTATGTTTCAGCACGTCCATGTCACCATTCTGCTGCAGCTCCAAAATCCTTGGGGAGAAAGCACAGAGTCAGGAGTTACAGTGGGGAAGTGGCACCTGAGAGCCTGAGGGTGTAAATCTGACTGCCTGCAACCTTCCCACATGGCTTGGAAAGCCAAGCAGCAGATGAACCTGCACAGACTGATTTAGCCAGAAAAGAAAGCTTGGGTATGGGCTTGCCTGTTAAGACTGAGCATGTGGATATCAATGTTCCACTACAGATACAGCAAAGCACAACAAATCTCTTTCCCTCTTTTTAACAACCTCAATGAGAATGCTTTACTTTATATACTATGTTTTCTCAATCAGCTTTTACTAGTCTAGGTCAACTGACTTTCATAGTCCATTAGATATCTGACAATATTTTGCATTCTAATCACTGGAGAAGAGACATTTAAATTAAAAAAATCAGAAGGAATATACATTTCAGATTTACCACCTTACACACGACGTTGCTGTAAACTGATCTTTAGTGGGTTACCTACATTTGCTGCTTTGGAGAGAGAGCAAAACCATCCTCTTGTAGTCAGTGATGACCTAAACTAGTCTTGCTTAATGTCAGAATGCAACCTGATGATAAGTGATTCCACAGGAAGGTTCTTTGCTGTGGGATTCACTTGTCCTTGGACCTACATACCCAGCCCGCGGCCAAATATTTACTGGGCAGCCTGCAAGGACAATATATTTAACTAGACTTCCTGTGGGATTAAATGTTTGAGAAAGGAGAGTTTTGTTTGGAAGAATATTTTCATATTTACTCCATTTATATCTGAGGAGAGTGGTTTGTTCTTTTTTTTTTTTAGAGAAATGACTAGAGTCACTGCTGGGTGCCTCTGGTTACCCATGATAAAAAAATTCAGTGATTACACCTAAAACCAATAAAACAACAGAAAGGTTTTCCTTCATGTAATAAATTACTTTTTCATTTCAGTGTTGGAAGGCAAACAATTACTACTGAAATCATTTGACACAGCATGCAAAAAAGTCCAAGTGCACACAAACCAGCAGAGGATGTTGCTACAGAGAGACTGTAGTGCACTGCAGAAGGAAGGAAAGCTGTCCCACTGTCTCAAGGCTACCACAACAGCTCAGTGCAGTGGTCTGCATCAGCCTCGAAAGGGAGCTTGAATGCAGGGGACCACAGGGCAGCTGCTCTGCACAGAGGTGACTCAGTCTCTGATGTTGCTTCAGCAGGTAGTTGTGTCCATGAAGACACTTAATTTTCTGTGGCACATCCACATGACCATGTATTTGCACTGTGGTCTTGCCAGGAATGGAAGGCTTGACACAGCCACCAGTGCCTGGAATCCCAGCACAGGTCTGGAGGGAGCTCCCATTTCCCACTTAGCAGTATGTCTGGTGGCTGGCATCATGACCTGCTCAGAGGGGAGCAGCTTGTTCACCCCTGTGCTGTCCCAGGGGGAACTGTGCCCTAAAGGAACAGATCACAGGTGATGCACGTGTCCTTAGAGATGCCAGAATCACTTTCTTCATGTAGCTTTGAGTTTGTAAGAAGTGGGACAAATTCTGAGCAGTGCCTGCTGACAGTACATTGCTCAAGGTACCACCCTGGAGAACAGTATTCAAAGTCAGAGTTGCCTGGACTACATTTTGACTTCTCCCAAACCTCGAGAGAGCTTAGGGAAGCCTCATCCTGAAGCTTTCTGATGAAGCAGGGATATCTCAAGGATGGGAGGAATCTCTTGTTGCAAGAGACTGAATAGCTGTTATGAGCCACCCACATTCAGATGAGCTTTGGAGGGATGGCACCATGGGCAGGACTGCTGCCACTGCTGCCTGTCGGGAGTGTGTAGAGAAGCTTGTGTTAGACCCAGTGACAGGAGGAGATGCAACTGGGATAAACTGGAAGATAAGAAATTCCAACCAGATAAGAGGAGAACTGGAGAGGTCAAACAATGGAACACAGAATTTATGGCCTCACCACCCCTGGTGAAATTCAAAGACCCAGTGGGAAAGACCCAGAGCAAATTGACCTGCTCTAAACAAAGGGCTGAACTGGAGACCAGATTGCTCCTCTGCAACTGCAAACAAGGTCTGTACACTACCCTCGATCATGGCATACAGTCCTTATGGAGAAAACTCACCATCATTCTGGTTTTCACTGCCCTGGAATCCCATACTAGGGTTTAGCCGAGTATTTTGGTCCAAATATTCCATTATGAAAGGTTAGCAGGAGCAGACAGCCAGCATAAACAGAACCCCTTTGTATAAGTTCTTGTGGAGTAACAGTCAATTCCTTTTCAATGCCTAATCCAAACATATGTGTTTTTATATTTAGGAATTACTGTACTATCTACCCAAGGCAGTATCAGAACAACATTAATGGGAGTTATTTCTTCCAGCAGAAGCTCTAATCCCTGAACAGGACTATTTTCTCTCTTTTATTCAGTCAGGAATAGAACGAACCATCCAAATGATTGCTCTATTCTCATTAATTAAATGATTCTTCACTTGTCAGTATAATTCCTGATTACACAAGACATCTTTTTAACAAAAGGCATTTGCATAAAGACACTGAGCTTTGACTTGTTCCTTAACGGAGATTTATTCCTAATTGTGCCCCTGGTAATTATTGGCAATTTTCTTTATGGATGTAACATATAAGTTCAAATCTTTAAAGGAAAACATTAAAAACTGAAGTAGAAATTTGGGATGGTAATGGTATCATTACATGGGAAACCTCAGGAAGTGGAAAGCTTATAAAAACAGCAGCTGCAAACAGATGTTGAGGGGTAAAATACATATCGCGAGAAATGATAAGAGCACTAATATCTAACTATATTAATGGCATGCAGAGAAAGAGGGAGATCTTGCTTCTGCTAGGCTTCAGAAACACTTCATTTCAGAATTCACCTGTTTGTGGAATCAAAATAATGGTTAACACATTAAGGAGATTTAACACTTCTAACATGTTCCTAGTTATGGAAGTTCCTATTTTATAGCTCATTTCCAGAAATGAAAATTGCGCTTTGATGGAAATTCCAGGAAAAGCAAAAGAACAAGGGAGGCAGGCTCCTTGCAAGCAGGCACACGGGCACTGCTATCCCTGCGTGCTGCAAGGAGGCTCCCACACGATGGCACTCTTTCCATAAAAATACGTGGATTTGCCGCAGCTGCTGGCGGGTTCCGCGACACAATAATCAGATGTACCTGTTGGGTGGCAGACACTACAATCACTTTGTTATTTGATTTTCGAATTTAATAAATGACTAAAGTAATAACGCATTAACTAAATGCTCTGAATGATAATGATGTTCTAATTCCAGCAAGTGCCTCTCCTTCCTAGTCCCAGATTTTTACAACTGAACTTTTTCCTCAATGGCACTGGCACTTTTGAACCTGCTTATTAGTACAGAGTAGTACTGCGAGACATAAGCCAGTGGAAATTAATAAGCAGGGTACATGAGTTTCTGATGTTTTGAAATACCAAAGTCTTAAAAAGATTACAAAAGAAGCCTATATATTTAAATAATCTGATTTGTCCAAAAATCCATGACCTTTAAAACTTGCTTATGGATAGAGTGCAGGTCTTAAATATATTTTTCTTTAGCAAGCAAAGTGTTATAGTTACATTTTTCAAGGCGATGACGTAAATTTATTGAGCTGCACAAAAGAAAATGTCTGTGCACTTTAACTGATTTGGCTCTGAATTCACAGTGCCAAGTGATGTCTCATGGATATAAACACAAAACTAAACTGCCTGTGGTTTCCAAATCTAACAAGGATGCAAACAAATCCTAATGAATCAATGGGAATAGGGTTGGATTCCACTTAGTAACTACGTACTTTGCTGCTGGCAGTGAAATGGAATTACTCCTCCAAAATACCCACAGATAAAAAACCCCAACTTAACATGACACCAAGGTGTCACAAATGCTCCAAAACTGAGACCTCTGTGACAACACCTTTTTTGATCTAATTTCATTCTCAGCTATCAGTGGTGAGCACAAGATATGAGAAGACATTTACAATGATATTGGAAATGCCAATGCATGTTCTGGGATGTCAAAGGTGACTGAATATCAGCTTCCTGCACCAGGAACATGTTGTCCAGAGGGATAACTTCTGATAAGGAAGAGGATGTGATGAGGTGCTTGGCTCTAGTCAGCAAATCAGAATGCTGCAGAGAGCAGATTTGCAGAGCCAATGTAATGAATGTCCACTGTTGAAGGGGGGAAAAATGCTAACAGTAAAAATGCTATAGTTGTGTATCTTGGTGGGCTCTGCCTCGGGAGCCTGAGCCAAGGTCCCAGCCCTTGTGCTGGCTCCTAGGGGAATCACATAGGTTACCTTTGGGAGCACTTGGTGCTTGCAGATGGGATCAGACAGTGACAAAACCTTTGGTAACTTCTGCAGTGGCTAGCCAAAAATCATTCCTCAGGCAAAACCTTCTCACTGGAGCTTTTCTATCAAAAATCTGGTACAAAGTCTGCAGAATTTCATTCTCCTCTTCAAGCAAGATATAAAACTAAGCTGATTTGTAAACATCCTTCAATTATCAAAGTAGACAGGTAGGGACCCACAAGGAGCATTTGTGGGTTTTTTATTTCAGTGAAGCAACTGCCTGAATCTTTCCTGTTCACTGCAAAAACTGAAATGATGCCACGTCCTGTTGCATCTCCCTGATCAAGCTTTAGGTTTTGGCAAAGCAGGCTCCTCTCTTGGCAGCAGAGCAGCTTTCACTGGTGCCACCTGGAAGGCTGGCTGGGGGCTGTGGTGCCAGAGAGGAATGGCTGCTGCCTAGCCTGGCTTGCTTCCTCATGAGGAAGGAAGCAGGAAATAAGAATGGAGAGAGGCAAGTAGGAGACTCTTGGAGTCCTTTTCATCTCCTCTCTGACCAGTGGTACCTCACTGTCTCACTGAGACCTGGTGAGTTTTCATATTTTGCCCTTATCCTTGAGGCCTGGCAAGAGACACACATTGATGCTCAAAGCCTTGACTTTGATGCCATAAATCATATTTGTAAGATTTATAGCATCATATTTCAGC